GGATGGATGGATGGATAGATGGATAGATGGATAGATGGATAGATGGATAGATGGATAGATGGATAGATGGATGAAAAAGGGCAGCAGTGCTCACTAGCCTCTTTTGATTTGATATAACTATTTGTGAGCATTATATGGAAGAGAGAGAAAGATTTTCCTCAGGGTTTGGACCATCTTCCTCAGGGACTAATGCATAATCATGCATGGCTTGAGAACCTATTTGAAAGAGTGGCCCTCTCTCTTATGAATGAAATAAGCCACTGAATCAAATTCAGATGGAATCACAGCAATGAGCCTCGCCAATAAGTCTACTGCTTCTATCAAGGAAGATGATCTGTCTTGGCCTAAGATTTGAAGCAAAGCCTTTTTCTCTCAGTGTTATTATTGCTGAAAGTTTATCAAAAGATAGCATTTCCCACAACTACTTCCTCACCCAGTAACCACTGGAGAAACGGGATTCTTCTAACTCATTAAATATGATATGTAACCAAACTATTGTATGCGTCACAGGCTGAATTTTAAGCCTTTAGTTAATTAAAATGGAATGCTGATTAATTAGCATACTGAAAGAACCTCCCTGCATTTAGGAGACATGAAGGAAGCAAGGGCAACCAGACTTCTGATTAACTTGCACGTCATGCTCATTTCATTTCATCTAAGTCTTCCACTTCCTCACTGGATTAACTGGTAGGCAATCCATACTGTAATTCAGATAGGTACCACTGAGCCTGTAGGTCTCATTCAACTTCATTTTTTTAAAATGCAAAACTGACATTACAGTGTAAAAAGTATAAATGTGTACCCTGAGGGACAGGGAAACTCTTAGTTTGGTTTGACTTTTAATTCAGCCAGAATCCAATTTCTGCGTTTGGAACCTATATGAACTAAAATGCAATTGTGTACCACTTTTCCAAACTTTGCATTTCCAGTTACAAAAAATGTGTATGAAAATTCATATAATTGCAAATACTTAGGAAAAAAGCACATTAGAGAGAACTAATAGATATGTGCATAAAAAGTCAGTACAATTTCCTGAATATTTTTTTAAATTACAATTTGATACCAAACTGGGAAGCTTGTTTTCCCAGTTTGGAAAGCTAATTTAAAGCTAATTTAAGACTGGAAAACTGAGAAACTGGTGAAATTGATTTAAGCTACTTTGCTTATCCTTCCTCTCATCCTGTGCCTGTTGTTATTACTAATGTATATGTAACCTTGTCTTGCCAATATAGTGGAAGAATGAAGTCTTGGAGAAAATTATACATTCAAAATAAGACTTTTTTTTTTCTTTTGGGAAAAAAAACCCCTCTTTTCTTTTATAGAAAATTCAATTGTCTTGATCATCTAGCAGCATTCCTCTTCCAAAATGAAGTCCTAACTTTTTAGATGAACTTGTATCAAAATTTATCTTCACAGTGTTAATTAATAAATACTAAAGCCTTTGCCAATTAAATGTATAATGAATTTATTTTCATAATGAAAGATGGAATAATAAAATAATTAATATTGCTATATTTAAAATGCTATATTTAAAATGCTACTTCTTGTGGTACAAGAATGTTTAGCGAACTATTATTCTGATGGCAGATGAAAACAACTAAGTATTTAAAACAATTTAAAATATGAAGGACAATATGATGTACATGTTTGTTTAGCACAAAGAATAGTCTGAAGTCCAAGATGACATATGGCCTCTGAAAGCCCTGGAGACTTCTAAATATTATTATTGAAACTGACACACTTATTGAATACATTTTGGTGAATAATCATGCTAACTAGATTTAATATTAATTAGTTGTGTGTGCAAATTAAATTAAAACAAATTTAGCTTTAGCCTGAACCTACACCCTCAAAAGACAAGGGTCAACTAGTTTTGCACTAGTTTAGCAGGAAAAGGAGAGTAATAGCAAGCTTCAGAGAACGAGAGAGGGCTGCTGCAGCTGCTGGAATATTTGCAATATGGAGAACGTGTGTGGTTCCACTGACATCTATAATGAATGAATAATGAAGGCAGCAAACCTTCAGTGCAGCATTACTTCTCCTCTGCTGCAGCTCTAAGGAAGGTGCCAGGAGCTGCAGCTGGCATTTTGAACAGTTATCTCAAACAGTGATATATAAATTTTAAACAGGTTTACAAGCATACGATTTTTTAAAGGTAATTATGTGGCTTATTTATCTGTACATTTACAGAACTAAGGATATAAATACATTCTAAGTGCAGTCCAATCATAAACAAACATTTGCTCAGAGGTTCTCAAAGTTATTAAGAACTTACCTTCCTCTATATTGTGTTTCCTTTTTAGCCATTTTTCCACTGTTTCAGCACTGATGCTTTCTGACACAAATTCATCCAGTACCTGGGGGTGAAGAGAAAGATAGGCCTTCACTTTTTCATCTGTCAAACCTGCAAAAGAGAACATTATTGTTTATACTATTATTATTTTTAAGGAGAAATGTAACAAAAAATTATCAAAATCCTCGTTCAGAAATTAGCTCTACTATGTTAGGAAAATCTCAAGGAAGGCTTTACCATCCTTAATTCAAAAGGGATAAACAGAGAGGTGGAATGAGACACACAGCCAGCAAACAGAATGCTACGTGAAAGACTATTCAGGGATAATTATGAATGAGAAACCTAAAGGTTAAGCAAACTGAAGCTGATCCTGTTTCATACAAAAAGGATTTGAAGGAATTAGAACAGGATTTGGGTTAGCTAGACAAGCAAAGGAATTCCCACAGCAAAAAGGAAGAAGAAATCTACGTTGAAACATCAACAAACTCAATTTTAGAAAGTACAGTATGTTAAACCAGAAACAGGTACGATGAAACATTGCACTGAAAAGTCACCTGTTACTGATTTCTGACATGATGTGTATCCAAATAAATTTCAGATACAGATATAAAAAGGGAAATAACAGAAAAATCAAAGAAAACTAAGAATAAGAGTGCCAGATGCTCATCCCCACCCCTTTCACAACCTATACATATTGTTATCTGTTCATACAGACTGAAGACACAATAATACACACAAGTAGGTTGAAAGCACTTCAGATTCTGAGAGGCAACTAAAGCTGAGGAAAAAAGAGTCTGCAATCACAGCAGGATATTGTACAGTGAAAGCACATGGTGGGATGAACTGCAGCTTTGATAGTCAGCAATACGTAGTCACAGGAACCATACTGCCCTTAAGAAAAACAGGGCAAAAATGTCCCACTAAAAATAAAACCCAAGACAGTAGGATAAACAGAAAGCACCTGTTAGCAGAATAAGTTTTAAAAGAAGAAATATAGGTATGATTTGTACTTTACCACAAAACTGCTATTTTTGTATTGAAAAGAAAGAATTGTAAAGCTAATTCCTTCAATGATTAAGGATAATAAAAGCAGTAATACAAGAGTGATAACATACAGACCAACTCCAGTTTTTACAAAATAAACAAAACAAATTTTTAATTTAAAAAATGCCAAGATCCACTGGAATATTTCCAGGAGATCTTGGCATTTTTTAAATTAAAATTTTAATTGACTGAGATCCAGTCAGTGGGACGACATCACGATTAGTGATAACACACAAAGCTGGAAAACGCTATTCAAACAGAGTTGGCCAAATTGCAACTTAAGATTCATTAAAAATAATAATAATAATTTATTAAATGTATATGCCACCCAAATCCCAGCAGCTTTGGGCAGTTGTGGATCCTGAATGGTTTAAATGTAGTTTTTTTGCAGTTCAAAAATGGAAAGAGGTCAAGAATAACATTCAGCAGCTATTGCGTTCTCCAACCATAAGGGATGGCTATATGTTTGTGCAGCATGGCTGGTTCTGCTTCTCCGGACTAAATAAATAAATAAATAAATGTATAATCCTCCCAAGTCAAGCTCAACTCCTGGTTATGATATGGACATGCTCCATATTGGTTTGTTTTTTGTTTTGTTTTTTTGGGGGGGCTTTTTTGGTCAACAATACAAAACGCTATTTGCTACTGCCTTGTTCTGAGATGCTTTTTGACTTCCCAGATTTCCTGGTGGCCTCCTATATAAATATTAACCGGGTTTGATCCTGCTGAGCTTCACTGATATCAGCCCAGGTAGCTAGGTGCTGCCACCTTGCATGGCATCTTCTATGGGAAACAGGTTCAAAAGCAGCTCCCAACGGATTTCAGAACATCAGACAAGAGACTCACACGTAATTCCCAAAACTTCCCAAAGCTTATCTGTGCACCAGGATTGATTCTTGCTCATGCATACAGTACATGAAATGAATTCCATCTTCAACAATAATTCCCTGGTTATAACTTCAAAAATACAGTTAAATGTAAGGAAAAGTCACAAGGAAGAAGAAAATGGAACCATGATAATGCACAGACTCTACAGACAACCAAACTTAGGAGCTGTAGCCTGAATGCACAAGAAAAAAACAACAGAGAATATATAGGAAGACTTTTACTGCAAAAATCAGAGAGGAGCTAGGAAACAAATCAGTTTTGTTAAGTAACATGGCAGGACCCTGAACACATAACTGAACACCTCCTTTAAACAGCAATAGCACTGGCATTTTTGTTCTCCTCTTGGTAAAAAGAAAAAAAAAACAGGAGATAATACCCTGGCATTCTGCAGGATAAATGTGATTTGTTATAAGGAATAATTTGTCTTACAGCAAAGTGTTGGCTCCCCTCCTAAAACTGTAATTCCTATGCCAAAATGTAAAGCCTGAGAAAATTCAGTAAAGCACATTCTTTACAGACTGATTTTCAGTGATATGTTCCTTTAACTATCACATTTGCTTCATATTGCAAACTAATTTATACATTTACCAGGGAATGTGTCTACCCAAGACTAAAATTTGCTAGAGTATTTATGTATATGTCTGCATATTGTATAGCAGGAAAATAAAGCCTATCACTTTAAAACAGTGAAGAAACCAGAAACAAATAAAGGCAGCCCTCTGCGAGTATTAATTTGATCAAATAGACAAATAAGTTAAAAGCAATAATTATACCCTGAGAGACATTACAGACTTAAGCAGAAAATATTTAATATATGTGATAGAATTTCATTTTTTATGATAGTGTCTCTCTTACCCTTACTTATATCCCACTGGTGTCCATGTTCTTGGTTATTCATAATAATACAGGATCACAATCACTAAGATTAAATCAAGTATTATTATCAAAACACTAACTACAAAACAACAGCTTGCATTTCTCTTAAAACTTTATGAGCTTTGATATATTGTATTTTTCTTATTTTATTTCACCACAAAAATATTCCTACCTTTGTTACTGGTATGATACAAATATTTTTCAAAGATGTATCGGAAACAAGTGCAGCAAATTGCCTAGAGGGAGTAAGTTACATGTTTTTACAAACAAAAAACACTCTGAATATAAAAGTGTTAATTGGTTCTGCTGGGGACAGAATTAACTGCAATGACTCCTTAACTACAATAATGCCTTAACTACTGCTTCTCAATGAGAGTATATAGAAGATAAACATTTTTTTTTACATTAGCAATGTGAGCAATGTTCATTACCATCATCACTGTGTTTGCAAACTATTTGAAGAATTTCATAAATGTTAGATATCCTCCAGAAACCATATAAATTGGACCAGTTTGCCTATTCTCATAGGGTATATAATCTTACTTAAAGCTCCCAAGCTAATGAACAATGATGAGATTTGAATGAGGAACTTCCCAGTTCACAGACTCAGTTAATATTCCATACTATGAAAGATTGTGTGTGTGTGTAAAAAGTATGTATGTGTGTGTGTACATATACATACTTTTTATATACAGTAAAGTATCATCATTTTGGAACTCGAATTTTAATTCAGTTTTGACAGCAAAGTTCTCAAGCAAGGAATGCAGAGTTTGGAACTGAATGTAAAGGGAAAAAATGCAAAAAAATTGTTACTTCAAATTTAGGTCTTCCAACACAGCTTGGCTTGGTAATTTTGTAATTGGAACTGGCAAATACACACATAAATAACTAAATAACATAAATGTCTTTAAGGAAACCCATAGAGGACTGCAAAATTCTCACATTCATTGAAAAGCATACTAAGCTACATACAAAGAATGCCCTCATTTACCCACAGAATTTCAGTGCCCCCAGTTTAAATTAAAAGATCTGCCCAGAACTAACAGTGGAGTAACACAGCCTCTTCTGCTACAAAACAATGAACTATTAATGACCACCTACTCCCATCACTATCAGCACAACCAATTAGATCTAGCAGTGAGAGACTGCTGCAAATCCCATTCTTTGGGGAGGTTTGGGGGGCTGAGGAAAGGTGGCACTGCTTCTCTGTAACAGTGGTAATGTGGTGCAGCGTGGAGATTGGACTGACTTCCTCTTTGTTGGTCTTTTGTCTTTTCTTAAAGACAAAACTGTTTCACAGAGTTTTCCACTTCTTCCTGAAAACATATTTCTGGCTCTTAGCACAAGAAGCGTTTTATAGATGAGAAATAATAGGCAAATACAAATGGCTAACTTATTATGAGATACTTGAATTTTGTCAAGGAGAATATAAAATAAAATCAAGAGAACTGGTGGCAGAGGGATATAGTTGTCAATGGTTCTCTTATTTACAATTAC